GGCGCTCTACTCCAGCGGCAGCAGGGCAGAGCGCCTGTGTCGGTAGGCAGCGTGCTTCACAGGCGCGCCTCCTGCACCGGGCTGTTGCCTACGTCCAGGGCGCCCTGCTCCTCCCCGCCAGCGCCGAAGCCCGCGGTACTCACCCGCCCCGTCCACGGTGCCGCGGGCATGGGGATGGGCTGCGGGCCCTGCTTGACCCACGGCGGCCGGAAGGTGGCGCGGCCCGCGGGCTGGCCGGCCGGCTGCTGCTGCCCGGAGCCGGACCCGCCGGGGTTGTTGACCGGCATCGCGTAGATCCGCGACCTGAAACAGAGTGCGTCAGTGCAAGAGAAGATCGAGCCGTGCGCCGTTGTAATCGCAAGTGCTGTCAGGATTCTGCATGCTGATGGTGTTCCTTGTTGTGGTCTGTACCTTGATTTTTGTTCTACAAGTAAACTAAAAGATTATTCGAAAACGTTTGCGCGTTATTTGCAGTTGCCAAATGAACGGCTGACAAAAAGAAATAAGAAAAAGACAGGGAGGGCGGCGAAAATGTTGTTCGACGTGCGAAGAGAAAGAGAAGGAAGAATGGGCCAAGGCCGAGGAGCAGGCGGGACAGGAGCGAGGGGTAAGCCCTCCCCTGTGCCCCCACCAAAAGCGACACCACCCATCCCTCTCCCCCTCCCTCTGCACTGCGGTGGGAGCTGGCCTCAGACTCGCCGCGCTAAAGTTAGACCCCGGCTCATTTTATTTGCTTTCTGCGTTGTTTCCATGTGGGCTGGGACCCCAGGCTCGGCTCAGCTCGGCTCGGCTCGGATTGGGTTGATCCCCGGCGTCCTATTGAGAAACGAACGCGAGCAGCCCCGGGCCTGGGGTGTGCGTTTGGATTAGGTGCGCGTCGATGAAATGTAAGGGTGACATGCAACTGTTATAAAAACACTAATAAAAAGCCTGAAAATAATTCAGACGATTGGGAGAAAGCAAAAGACTATAATTTGGTCTAAATTTGAGGTAAAAATTTTAATTATACATGATCAGTTAAATCTGAACACAATTTCATAACCTAGTCCGAATTTCGTAAATTTAAACTTTTTAAAATTCAGGCTTAGACCGAAAGTTATTACAAAATAGTACGAAAACCTAATTCAGACAGCAAAGTTTCCTGTTGTTTTTTAACAGAGAAATTTCACAACAAATCTATCACTCGAAAAGCTGTCTTCTTAATTGGAGAACATTTGAAAAAAATATTGAAGACAAGAACTGTTCTTATTTTGACAAATTGACAAATTGACCCGCTTTTTAGCTTTGTGGTATTTTAAAGCCTGTACATCCTAATAACAAGTAAATAAAAGAAAAAACTGTATTTGTCTTAAAATTTGGGGGATATTCTAGAATTAAGAACACTCCTTTCTGGTGTGTTTATAAACCCCCGGTCAACAGAAATAGACCAAAAAGATATCATTTGACATCAACGGAGTCAATCTAGCATCAAGTTGATCTAATTTTTCGGTCAACATGATGTTGAAATGACTGTCTTGGTGTCAAATTTTCTGTTGAATGGGTCGTCGTTTACAAACAAATCCTAAACTGTGAAAGATATAGTCTCTGTTCTACTTATTACAACAAAGGAAAACTTTAATACAGACTGTTTATCTTTACTGGAAGCCGGAGGACGAGTAACAGTGAAAGTACAGTATTATACTGTACTTCGAAAATACCGTGCAAGACTGATTACACTGTCTAAATGTAACTTTTACACTTGTGGTGGTTTTTGTAAAGCGGGTGCATCGTGCCGTGAGACGCGCGGATGCAAGCGTGAGAGACTTACATGTTTGTTTAATACTCTGCCGATGGAGACAGTAGAAGCGTTAGGAGCGATAGAGCAGAAGGAGTGGCGTTACGCATGGGGAAGACGATGGCGGTGACGGCGGCAGCAGCATGCGCACCTCGAGAACCGCCCTGCCGCGGACGGACAGCCCTGCGGACAGCCCTGCGGACAGCCCTGCGGACAGCCCTGTGGACAGAACAGCGGGTCAAGCGTCGAGATGCGCAACGCAGGGAACAGAGGGCGGCTGTGCGCGGCTCGGCGGCAGCGCGACGGACGGACGCGTACGGACGAACGCCACGCCCAATAGATGAGTTTGCTGGTATCGCACTAGGTTCTTTTTCGTACCCGACTGTGAAAGCTAGATGACTCGCAAATGTTGCTTATGCACATTTATTTAGTCTCGATGTTTTCGGGTATCATCTCTGCGCGGCCCCGAGACGTGAGGACGCTGGCCGCGTCGCGCGCCGGTCGACCAACTCAAGTGATGCGCGACCGACTGACATATATGCTGCATCTATTCCCGGCGGAACACCCCTCGCCGCGCCCGGTTCAATGGAGGCGTGCTTAACCCTTTTGCCGGCGGTGCGCCTTCGACTTGACCGCTGCGCCTCTCCCGCCCCGCCATCCTCTCGCGGGGGTTGCACCTCCTCTTGCGAAGGCTGACTCATTACATACAGACCCGAGGGGCCGACAAGACGGTAGATTTGCCGAGTGAGACAGCTGACTACACGCCAAAAGACGTATCTATCAAATCCAAGCAACTCCATATCGAAATTGAATAATGCTGCTACGGTAGCACAGTGAAATGTGGCCCTTTCTATTTTCTTCGGGTTAACATTGAAAACGTTACCGGGAGCCTCCGCTATTTTCTGTGCGCTGAAAATAGACGCCGGCTGCGGCGGTGGGAAATCGGGGATGTCGGGTCCACCCGTGTGGGCCAACCAAAGCCCAGCCGGCGTGCCGAACAGCCTCCATCTCCTGCCCCTAGGCTGTCCCCGGCTGACCCTTGGGGCGTGTAAAGTTAAGCACGCGTGAGCGTTTCACGTGAGATGAGCGTCCTGGTGAGAGGCAAAATGACGCGAAAATTGACAAACCCATAGATTTTTAGAGAGGAGGGACTAAGAAGAGTGCAATCCTGCAAAAATATTTTCAATTTGAAGTCGTTTCGTTTAGTATATAGCACCGCACGTTGCTCGTGTGAGCGCTATCTCACGTGAAACGCTCACGCGTACTTAACTTTACACGCCCTTGCTGTCCCTGCCTGTCCGCTCGTGTGGCCCGGTAACCCAGCCTTACCCCAGTCGGCATGCGAACAGGCATTAACCGCCCCTTGCTGTCCTCGGCTGACCTCAGCTGTCCCTTTCCACCACCATCTACCCTCTCCCATACTACTGTCTGTCTGCGAGGGACAGGGCAGCCTCGGGCAGGCAGTCGAGCCAGGAGCAGGACGACTGCCCGATGACGTCTTACCGGCGGCGTATGTATGCATCACCACCGGACGCCACACAACATAAACAGCCGCAGGGCGAAGAGTCGTTCGGAAAGCGGAGGGGGCAGGGGGGGGGGGATACAGTACACCAGCTTCCGATGAGCGGGTTCGAACCCCTCGAACTGAATGCAGGCAAAAATAAGTGCAGCACGATGATTGTTGGCTTTCCTTTCACAGGGAGCTCCACGAGAACTCTGCAGCCGAAGAGTAGAAGATGTCGGTGTTCTGGTTTTTCCGCCCGGCCGTGCGCGAATGCTGGGCCATTGTTTACCGCGGGCGCGGGCACAACGGTGTTTACATTCGCCTCTCTGTGCTTGCAGGATGTCCGGGTGGCCTCGCAGCTGCGCCCGAAAGGGGCAGGGGACAAGAAGAAAGGACGCAGAAAGGGAGTGACTTTTCTCTATCGCCCTCGAGGTCCTCGACGGCACGACGGACAACGACAACGGGCTACAACAACGTGGTAATGCTCCCAACCCTCAGAACTCAATGTGATATGAGCTCTGCACTGCAACTGGAGCTAATAAGCTCCCATCACAAATGCATGGTGGGTGGGGTTTTATTAGTTTCAAAGCCGCGAGTTTATCCACCCTCTCGGAGGGCAGTGAGGATGCATGGAGAGCATTATAAAAAGCAGAAGAAAATACTGGATGATTTGAGACAATTTCTTCTTATATGACTGATAAAGCAGTGTGATGAGATAGGTAGGGCATGGGGGAAGCTGGCCGCTACGAAACGACGTGCGTTGTGACTTTGCGCTCACCTGGTCTCACTCACTCTCTCTCTCTCTCTGTCTGGCTCCGCCCCTTCCCTTCCCAAACCCTGATCTCGCGGCCGGCCGCGGCTCCTCACGCGTTGGACGGGGTGGACTCTCGTGCGGCCCGACCCGGACTGTCTCGCGGGCGCGCGGCGGGGCGCACTTGTGCCAGCTCGGGCCGGGCCGGGCCCCGCGGCCCGCGGACGCCACTGAAGCCTACCCGCGCCACGCCGCGCCACGCCGCAAGGCGTGCCCTGCCAACGAGCGGCGGCTTGCATCTGGTTCGCGGTAGCTCAGCGAGGACGTTCGAAATGGGCCGCGAGCTACAACACCCTACACTTCTACTATTGGCCAAAGTGGACCGCTCGGACGCCACGAGACGCGATGTGACTAGGGCCTTACACCGCGCCAGGGTGGCGAGGGTTGCCAGTGACCTGGCTGCCGTGCAGCCATGCTGCGGATGGCTCCGGCATTCCCTGGGCGCCTTTCGCTTTTCCCGCTCTTTAAGCGCGGGCTGATGCCACGGCCGCCAACCCCGCCGCGATGGGCGGTACGCGGAAGCCAGAACGTCCGCCAGAATGTCTGCTCACCGACGTACGGGGTCCCGGACCATGCAGGCTGCAGCAGCTCGGATCGACGCGCTGGAGGCGAGGCCGCGAGGGGCGCGCGCGAGAAAGAAGTTCGCGATTCTGGGAAGAGTTGGCCAGCCCGGCGGCTGTGTGGAGGCGGTGGCGGCGCGCCAGCAAGGCGGTGCAGTGAGAAAAATAAAAACACACTCAGCTGTCTGCTAGTCAGAGGGCGGCCCCATCCCATCTGATCTCACTCAGCCCGCTCTCCTCTCTCCCCAACCCCGTCAGGACTCCTCTCGCTCGCGCCCTCATCCGCAGCCCTCGCCAGCAGGCCCCGCCGCGGTGGACAGTGATCGGTACGCCCGTGCCCGTGCCCCAGTAGAGCGGATGGGTGCTGCGCAGCGATCCGGTCGACACAAAGGAGCGCGGCGCTGGGGATGAGGCTATGGAGGATGACTTGGAGGATCGCGTCCTGTACCAGACGTACGTGTCGCACATGAAGCTGATGTCGCGCCTGAGCCTCGCCTTCCCCGGCGGCCTGGGCTGGGGCTGGGGTGGCCCTGGCGCTGGCGGCCCAGGGCTCGCGGCCGGTCACGCCTGGCGCCTGTTGCGGATCTACGTGCTGCGACCCGAGGTCCTCATCTGCGGCGTCGTCATGATCCTGGTGCTCGCGTACCTGCAGGCCTCGGACGCGTGGTCTCCTTGGGGTCGGGGCGGTTCGACGGCCGGCCCCGTGCGCTCCCTGTTCGGCCGCCTCCAGGGTCTGCAGTACCTCGTCAACGGCTCGGTCGGGGTAGGCGCCGCGTCCGGTGCCGAGAGGCTCAGCTGGGAGCTGCGCGAGGGCGAGATCGCTGCCTATGCGGTGCAGGGTCGGCGCCCTAAGATGGAGGACCGCTTTGTGGTCAACGACAACATAAACGACACTGGAGTGGCTCTTTTCGCGGTGTTCGACGGGCACGGCGGGGAGGTTTGTGGTCTTGTCGAGCATCCCAGTTGACATCCACTTTGTAACAGTTTCGATAGCTCATGTTTCTAATTTGTTTTCAGTTTGCTGCCAACTACGCCAAAGAGAAGCTTATTCCAAGTTTAAATCAGAAGGTTGCAGAGATTAAAAAGTTTGTTGCAGAGGGAGGTGTCAAGAGACATCCTGTCTATGGAACGCCAACAACTCCATCGAAGGGAGGTGCCAACCTAGGGAGTAGCACACCAGAGGCAGTGAAAAAGGGGGCTCCAGTTGAAAAAAAGAACAGCTTTCGTAAGACAATGAGTACATCCCAAACTGATGAATGTGTTAGGAAAAGCGGTGGAGTTACAGATCCAGAGCTCTTGCTCAAACTGGATAGTATACCTCGTTCCATAACTCGTGAAGTTAGACCATCTCTGCTGGATGAGGCAGCACCTACAAGCGGACCTGCTTCAACATATGTTGATAACTCTGGTGCTGTAAACTATAGCCGACTGCTCACTGATGAAGTTCTTGCAGCTGACTTTCAACTTGTCGAGGCAGCAAAAAAAACTATGGATGTAGCAGGTATTGCCAAGAGGGATTTAATTTCTACTCCACATTTTCTTCCCTTATCATTTGTTACTGCAGATTTTATTTGTTAATAGGAACAACTGCTCTGATTGCCTTGATGGAGGGGTCCCGTTTGATTGTAGCTAATGTTGGTGATTCTCGTGGGGTAATGTGCGATAGTCGAGGAAAAGCTATACCTCTTTCCTTTGACCATAAACCACAGCAGGTAAATTTTACATCCAGACAACCAAAACAAAAATAGAGGTACGTTTAGTTAACTTGCACTACAATAATTAAATTTTGTTATTATTTGTACAGATGCGAGAGAGAAAACGAATCAAAGAAGCTGGAGGATTCATTACATTTAATGGTGTGTGGAGGGTAGCTGGAATTTTGGCTACTTCCCGTGCTCTTGGTGACTATCCACTGAAAGACAAAAAGCTGGTGATTGCAAATCCAGACATTCTCACCTTTGACCTCAGTAATCACAAGTGAGATTCAATTATTTTCCTCTGCTTTACCTGATGCAGACCTTTTGTACTTCTACTTAATGAAAACCTCATTCTTCTGCTTTGGTTTTCTGAAACACTTCAGTTTATAATTTTTTCTTGTGTTTCTTTTCCCATCTCTAGGCCACAGTTTATCATCTTAGCATCAGATGGACTTTGGGATACATTTTCCAACGAAGAAGCTGTAGCATTTGTTCGTGAGAGACTCACTGAACCTCACATGGGTGCCAAGAGTCTCACTCTACAGTCTTACTATCGGGGTTCCTTGGATAACATAACTGTCGTAGTTATCAACTTGAAAGATCGTCAATGGAATAGTACCACTCCAGCACAACCTAGGGCAGTGTAAACATTTTATGGCAGGGAAATCAAAAACTTTGTGATAGACCATTTCTTTACATTTGATGTGAGAGCTGTGAATAAGATTTACAATTTTGCTAATTTCAAAGCTAGGTCACAAGTTTTGTGCCGAGCTAATTTATTATTTGTGTTTACTTTATTTTAAATCAATCAACTTATTTTTCATAATTACTAATTTTGAGTAGTTCATGTCAAGCATGATAACAGAATCTGTTTCTTTGCTTTAGTAACAAGTTAGTCAGGTGCTCAAATCTCTCTTTACCTATGACTGTCATTGTTATCCATGTCTCAACATGTACAATTTGTTAATGCCAAGCTGTGATCACGTTGTTTATTGTTGTAGATCTGATATTTGGGTGGAAATGTGACTTAAGATGCATATCCCAGATTCAATTTAATGTGTTTTCATTCACACATTAATTTGTACAAAAATGTGTTGGTTCACTTCTTTTTATGTGTTGCTCAATTTTCTGGGTTTATTGCTTGTGTCCTTAAATTTGTGTTACACACAATTAAAAAAGTGCTTTCTAACGTTATTAGGTATTTTTGTTTGCAAGAACAGGGTAATTATTCACAACTTTGTGTGGACATCTTGGTCGTGTGTATTGATTATCTTGTGTTTTCAACATGCCAACCTTTATCTTAGTAAGCATTAAGTCCGTCCAAGCAAATTATAATAAAATGTCCTTATACAGCTTTTTTGAATCAAACTGAAACGTCCTCTAAAAGAGAAGAGTATTTCTCTGAGTGTTATGATGAAAGTTTTGGAATGTGGAAGTCTCTTCTTTTGTCTATTTGTGATTCTAATTTTACGCTCTGGGTTTATTAGACTACACCCAGTCTGTTTTGGATCCATTTTCATTTAATAGCTTTAAGTCACCTATGACCCTCAAAAAGCTGCTAAAGCTGGAGAAAATGTTTACTGCATGTCTTTGACACTTAGTGTTTTCTTAGACCTTTCTGAACAGTGTTCGCTTTTGATTTTAGGTGCCAAAGATTCTTTGAGACTAGTTCGTTTATTTTAAAGCTAAGTACACTAATCAGATCCAAAGATACTTTTCCTTTGTCAAATCTGTTATTTCTTTTCGCAAGGTGGATGAAGCCTCTTAATTTGTAAGACTTTGTTAGATAATGGTTGTGATTTTGTGGTCTAGTTACATTGGTGACAGTATACACCACACATATATATTTGGGTCACCAATATTGTTCAATCGTCAATGTCCCATAAGAAATACCGTATGAAGGAAAACAATTTTGTTTCCGAGACACCTGAAGTCCACAGTTTTCCCCCTCCAGTCTATGCCTCAAGCTTGACTCAGTCAAGGGTATGTTGCGACAATCATTTAGAACAACCACAATCATCTAATGGTGTTGGCAGAAAAGTGATTGGGCTACTTACATTTAAACGAAACTGAATGTATTATTGAAGTTCCTTTAATATCTAAGACAGTAGAAAGAGAAAACAGTTTGTTCCCAAAAACTCATGTATTAACAAAAAAAAAAAAATTCCCGCTATAAATGTTCTAGTCTTATGGAATTCAGTTGTGGTTGAGCCTCATGTATCCGATTTCTCTTGTGGAGGACGAGGAAAGTAACAGGAGGAAGAAGAAGCAGAATTAAATCTGTATTAAAGTGATTGATTGCATACATTTATTCTCTCTAGGCATTTCTGTCAGACAAATTTTAAAAAATTCTGGTATTAAAAAAAAAAAAAACTTGGCAAAAACTAATGAGTATAAATGTGGAAAAACGGGATAGGTTGTTTTTTCATTAAACCTGTTAATCATGATCTTGTAAAATCTGTTTCACTCATGTGTTTAAAAGACCACCATGAAAAGTGACAAGATATTTTGTGCTAATGTCCCTTCGTTAAACTGATTTTCCAGACACTACAAGGGTTCTCAAAGCTAATTAAAGCACAACAGACCAAAAACTTAAATTAAAATATCCTCTAAGACTTTCATTGTAAATAGTATCCTGCTACCATGATGCAATAAGCAGTGCAAAGTGACTCTTACTGATGATGTGCAAAATTTGATGCAACCATGCAGTCTTAATAGATTTAAAAGAAACAAAAAATACTTATATATAAAATCTAATCGCAACTTTCAGTGAAAGAATCATCAGAGAAAAAGTTTTGAAATAAATTAAATTGAGACATGTATCAATTTACTTTCTTTAGAGGCGAAAAGAAAGCATTGGCTGAAGAATTAAACGTAATATATAATAAGTAAATGATCAGTCACTGAACCACTCAATGGCATCAAGAGACTCAACTGCAGTCTGAATCTGGATTGCGGTTTCTAAAAAAAAAACCATTGTGTTGGAATGGTTATAAGTCTTTTTATAGTGAAATGATGAGTAACAACTTCAATGATAACAAATAGATGTCATTCTATTGTGCCAGGTGTTCTGTTTAATGAGAAACCTCTAAAATGTATCTGTATCAACCATCAAGTACATCTGTTAAAACAGCCAGAAAATGCATGCTCAACACCAAGTTTTAACACCAACAAAAGGAAAAGTCAGTATCAAAATACAAATACAAAGAGAAAAGGAAACCTTTGCATAATAAGCAGCAATGAAAAAAAAATATTCCCATTGAAGATAACACTTTTCATTTGCAAAAAAAGAAATGTACAGAAAAACCAATCATAAAATTAAATAAACTTCTCTGTGGATGAATATAAAACGAATCTAACAGCTCTGGAGCCATAAAACAAACCTGAAGAAATATTTTTGAAATCTTTAACACAGCACAACAAAAATTCAATTTTAACATTAACAGTCTAAACATTCAAAGTAGCTTATGAAGAGGAATTTTATCTCTTTGGATCAATAAAGGCAGAAATAGATATATAATTCCTATGAAATCTTTAGGTATATGTTTATTCTAAAGGTAGAATACATATGAATTTATTGCACTTAATTCTAGATCAACCCTGAAATTTATCTTCACAGTGTTTTGCGTTTCTCAACAGAAAGAAAGAGAGAGAAAGAGAGAGAGAGAACTTTGCGTAATACCTTTTTTGTTACAGTAGAAATGCTATGACCATACATCAATCAGATCAGAAGACAAAATACACAGACAACAAATTTTCTGCATGGTATTATCACCGTATGTGAAGTAAAGCTTCTCTGGGAACAAACTTATTCACACAAATACTGACTGTGTAAGGCACCTTATCCACAAATTCATAGTTAACTCTCTTTTGTACTCTGCATTATGTTAAGTATATGATTAACTACCATAGTTTTCTTTTCAAAAACTTGCAAATATACAAAACATGAAATAGAACACTGTACATCAAAAACTTAAAATTAAATAAAGTACCTTAATCCTTTAACAGCACTTCAGTGCATGGAGGAAAACCCCAAATTCAGAACATTGGAACCAACAAGTTCAAAATCCTAGTCTTCATTTCTCATACCACAAAACTCAAACCTTATAACAATAGAGAGAAGGTAATGAAGTGGAGAGATAATCACTCCAAAAGAAATAGGTATTATTGGACGGAAGTGTGGGAGCAAAACAACAAACTGTGTGCAAAGAAACAAAAACATAAAATATTAGAACATAAAGCCTGCGCGATTCTATCATCATTTCAAGACTAGATAACAAGGGCAAAATGACTCCTGCTGCATGTTAAGATCACAAAATGGCTCCCATTTCAAGTTTTAAATAAATCTAGATACAAAGTCATCACATTCATTCATGTGTTTATCCTTCAATGCGTGAATTAATCTTGAATAGAAATAACCATAAGTTCACAAGAGCTCAGGAATTCTAATAACCCAGCAAGATGATGAAAATGAGTAACAAAATAGGTAGAGTAAAAATTTGGTAAGTACAGATATATAGGGATATGTAAGGATGAGGATTGTGCTTCCAACACAACATAAATGTAAGTGGAACCAAAGATTCAAATTAAGTGACATGCTGGAGACGTACCACTAAAAGCATTGTAACTCAAGTTATGTATGCAGTGGGGGGCCAACATTCAACAACAGGCATTTTGCTCTCATCTGCTACTCTCCACAATCTTAAGATTCTGTTGAAATTAAAATAGATTACTTGAAAGTTTGAATAATAGAAATTGATTTGAATTCAACTCAGATCACAAGCTTATGACTGATAATAAGATAATATTGGTAAGAAAAAATTGAAAAATTCTACTAGACAGAATTATAAATATTATCATACATACTATGTATAGAGAAATGCTTCACAATAATCCTCAGGTCAAGTCATATCTTTCATAAAATGTGACCGAACTGGGAGTGGTATTGGTAGGACAAGGGGATGGTGTAATAATTGAACGACTGGTTGATGGGGTGGAGGAGAGTGGTGCCCTTCCTGTTGCTGCTGCGGATGCGGATGAGGAGGAGGAGGGAGCACTCTCTCTTGAGGCGGTTGCTGTGAGTTCGTGGACGTGGGCTGCTGTGGTGGTTGCACATTGGGAGGTCCTTGTTGATGGTTATGGTTGAGGTTACCCTGCGCTTCAGTAGTATGTAGTCTCACGTGTCTTGCGAGACGATGACTCTGAACAAAGCGTTTACCACATTGAGGGCAAGCATAAGGACCATTCTTAGCATGAGATCGTAGATGCCTCTCTAACTTGTGGCGTTCACCAAACATTTTACCACAGGTTGTACAAGGGTATGGTTGCTCACCTGTATGTATTCGCATGTGCTGAGTCAAATTATGACTTTGAACAAAGGACTTGCCACAGGTTCCGCAAGAATAGGGTCGCTCTCCAGTATGAGAACGAAGATGTCTCTTCAGTTTGTGGCGTTCCATAAATGATTTGCCACAAATCGCACAAGAATAATTCCTCTCTCCTGTGTGGAGCTTCATGTGGTCAAGCAGGGTATGACGTTCTATGAAAGTCTTACCACAGGTCTCACAGGAGTAAGGACGCTCTCCAGTATGAACTTTAACATGACTCTTCAACTTGTGGTGCTCAGCAAAGCCACGCCCACACGTGGTGCATGAAAAAGGTCTTTCACCAGTGTGTGTGCGCATATGTCTAGTCAGACTGTGATTCTGGATGAAAGCCTTTCCACAAGTGGAGCATGGATATGGGCGCTCGCCTGTATGAGTGCGCATGTGTCTTGTAAGACTATGGTTCTGAACAAATGAGCGACCACATACATCACAGGAGAAGGGATGTTCTCCAGTCAAAGCTTTAAGATTATACATAGCAGTCGCTAAGCAATGATTGGGAGACTTTGGCAAGGCAGTTGCACCAAGACTGTTAAGTTCATTGAGAAGATGCTCCTCTCTTGAACCTGATGGCTGACTTTGGTTGAACTGCTTGTTTTTAGAAGCATGATCTTCATCGTTGCCATCTGCCTCAGTAGCCTCCTGCTTCATCTGAAACAGAAATAACAAGTCTACTCAGTAAAAAGAGTAATTCAAAAGTTTCTGATAATCTTTAATTATTATAAATGGCTTTTTGTTTACAAACAAAAGTAAGAAAATAAACTAAGAACATTGATTACATAGACTTCAGATTATTTCTTTTCACTGAAGCTCCATGTTTTGGAAGTTTGATTCAATCAAAAAGAGTAAAGTGTTAACTAATTATCAATTAGTTGGAAAGAAACTATTGTTCAGTCTGCTGATTGTGTTAGGAGAAAAGAGAGAAAGAGAGTAGATCAGATATCAAGAGCATATTAAGAAAAAACTCTCCTACTGATGGAATGAAGATAAATTTATTAGTGTATGTGAAGTAGAAGAAAAACAGTAAGCAGGAAGGAAAAAAAAAAGCACAGAAAACGAAAAGTATACTTACACTTACGAGGTTGACTTGCTGCTGGTATGCCACAGCGGCACCCGCAGTAGGTACAACCTCTGGCTCTGGGTGAGACTCTGACCAGGTAGTCCTCTTTGCCAAAAAATTCTGGAGAGCAAAATTCAACAATTAATAATACATACCAAAAACCACAAAATCAAGAAGATAAAAATCTAGGATACATACTGCAACATGATGGTCTTTAGCATGCACAGGATGTTCTGTGCCAGGTGACAAATGAGATGAAGAACTTGTTTCCTCAGCCACCATCTCGCGGGGAGCAACCTACAAATCCCACAATAAAAAATAATAGCAAATACAAATTTAAGCTAAAAAATAAATATCATGTTACAGTAAGTTAAAAATACTCACCCTGTTGCCGTGTTCTGGTTCTACATTCAACATTTCCACTCTGACTGGTAGGTTTGCTCGGACAGATGGCGTCCGTTTTCCCCGTGACCGCTACAAAAAATAACGGTATTGTTTGTTTTTTAACAGACAAATTAAAAATTTATAACATTGAGGAAGTTAGAAAGTAATACCATATACCTGGTTTTGAGAAGAAATAGATGCTTGTAGTTGTTGCTGCAAATGATGCTGATGATGCAGACTAGGGGGATGGGGATGTTGATTAAGTGGTAACCCTTGGTGGTTTGTTAAATGTGAATGGTGCCCCCTTCTATTGGGGTCTAGAGGTTTCAGGTTAAAATGCCTGCGTAGAGTTGCGTCTGAGCGCTGGCACTGAACTCTGAATTTATAAGCCTGGTCGACTTGGTACTGACAACGAAGACAAATGAGAGGAGGTAGACCATCTCCTGCATGAACCTACAAAGATAAAGAGAAAATGGTAATAAATTCCACAGGAATAATAACTGATCCAGTATAAAAGTAACAATATTAAATGGGAACCACATGTCATTGTTTCTGGCAGGAGGAGGTGTCTGGATACCCATAGTTGCAGGCAAAAGCTGAATAAGCAGATTTCATAAAACATAAAAACGAATGAAAAATTGATTGAGATGTGAATCATAGAATGAACTCTATGTCACACATGACCTAGAATTAAAATGAGAAATGAAGAACTAAGAGATCTAGCCAAGAAAAGCAATCTAGACAATATATTAAAGAATCAGAAGAAAAATCATCTCTTCATTGGGAAATTTTCAAAAAATAAAATTCTGGCAAGGGAGTGAAACTTGTCACTAACTGACTGAAATTTTTAATGAGAACTAAGCAAAACCTGAGAGTGCATACCCATGTAAATCATCTCAGAGAAGCAATCTGTAATTTTAGAATGTATTAAAGAAAACAACTAGAAAGTAGACACTACATCCCTACAATGAGCTTAGCAATGAGCAATGATTAGCCCATCAAGTTGTTCACCCATATTTCTAAACACTGATCCAACTAAACTAATCTAAATATTCCTGCAGAGAGCAATACCTAATTTGCCCAGAAAATGTCAGCAGTTTGAACTATAATAAAAATAGATTCTATTATCTTCTTGGCTTGACTTGCACAGAATAAAATAAGTTTCCAGCAAACCGTAAACGAGCAATTCATTGACCATTTCTCATGAAAAATAAAATGCGTGCGGAACTGTGCTCTACTTCCCTCAGGCAAAACGTGCTAATTGCAAAGCAAAATTTCACCACGAATCCACAGGTGAAAGGATTAGAAAAGAAATACATTCGAGTGTACGAAGGCATTCTCACCTCGAGTGAGGCGCACGTCATAATCCTAGTCGACAGAGTAGTCCCTCCCTGTGTCGCATCATCTTCCCCTCCAAATATGGGCACCCCAACCCCCTCCTCCGAGAGACACAGGCGACAAATCTCTGTCATATTCACTACCCGTTGGCCGACTGCTTCCATCGCCTGCAAAGGCAATACAACAGTAGACTCTCTGCCACAACACACTACACACACCTGGCCCTGACGAAGGGCATAACGGAGAGGTTATTGCACGGGTGGGCGGCCAACCAAAACGCGAGCATCGAGGAGGATATTAGAAAGGTTACAAGGAAGTCAAACTTACAAGTGCGATGGAAGAGCTCTGCGTGCGTCAATTATTCGCACAAAGATATGTATACTGGAGAGAAAACACAGTCTGCTAGGCGTGAGTGTTCATCATTGTCCGTTGTCTCTCACCACTTCCGACGCTATGGGGCATGCGAGTCATGGGGAGCTCCAAATTACACATGCGGCACGTCTTGAAAAGTGCAATTCCTGCAGTTCTGTAGCAGAAATCTCCGAAATGTTGATTTTTTACGCCATAAATAGTACAAGGTGTAAAGAAACAATACCAAAAGACCACACTCTACACCGCTAAGCTAACGCCCGCAGCCGCAACGAACCGCAACCAACGGGCGCTTCCACGCCTTCTTGCGGAAACGACACGTGAAGGGCACTACGGCTCCGAAAAGGCGGTGATAGCGAGGACTGCGGGAAGTTTTGAATCTTGCGCATCACTAGCAACAAGTTAAAGCCGGGTGACAATTTTTGTTTTGGTCCATTTCCCTGATGTTAAAGACAGCACATATTTTGGTTATTGTTTCTTTTGAATTATTACAAGGGAGTTTTTGGTTTGAGCCGTAATTTAAAAATTCGCACAAAACAAAATAAAACCACTTTATTACACAAAAAAGCAAGCATGCCACAAGATAAACCTATGATGATTATTCAACAATGATCAATAATAAAGAAAATATAATATGGGTTCAAATAGAGATTTATTTCAGTCTGAGTCATCAGATTTGTCAGCCTTGTCACCACTTGGCTGGTCTTTGTAATGTCTATACTCTGGTTTCAATTCCCACATGTTTCTATGTGGGTTTTTAATATTGTAATCACAAACATCTTTCAGAATTTCTTTCAGGTAAGTCTGAAAAATAAAGTACATTAATTAATGAGCCACAGAAACTTTATACACGTAAAAAAATCAATTTTTCTGTAACTAATGCATACATACCACAGGCTGCCTAGTTATACGGACTAGATCTTTGATATTATAATACTGGTGCTTTTCAAATGCTGCAAATAACATTTCTATGACCGAATCCTTGTCATCACGAGCTTTCTTCCCTTCAGCCTTCTTCTTTTCCTCATATTCAATCTAATGAAGGACAAAGTGGGGAAATTATTTGTGTTAGAGTTCTTGGTAATTCATTGGAAGAACATTTAGTTAAAATGAATGAATTGCATAAGCTTACATTATATTTGTGATTGGAAACAGGTTTGTAATTTTGTACAACACGATCCAACTGCATAACCAGTCTAGTAGGTTGAGCTGCCTTTCTGAAACTTTCAAGCTTCAGTTGCATGTATCCTTTGTCAGCTACAATCAAGAAGTTTGGTATTATTCAAGCTCACACAACAATATGACGGATAGATGATAGATAACTCAGATGAGAAGAAAGTTTTACCATGAGGACGACATTCAAGCTTCTGTTGGATCCTTCCCTCTAAACATAGCTTTTCAGTCTCAGGTACTACTGCGTCTGAATTTGGAGCTACAGAGATTTACAAAAAAAATTGTTAAAATAAAAACACAAAACAAGTAAAAGTTTCAGATTGCTAAGGCGTGGGAAAAATTAATAAGACATTAAAAGTTAACATAAATTAACTTACGGACAGAGTGAGAAAAAACTCCTAAAGTTTGACGCTCAACAATTTGCACATCTAAATGGTGGTCCTTAGGAATTACCACCTCGTCTGATTCTTGAGTCAACAGGCTATCAGCTATGGCTAGTGATACTACTGCCTTTTGTCCAGCACTCCTGTAATATCAAGAGTGGTCAGGAACATACTTAAATAAAATGCTGCAGGGGAGTGTGAAGAATAGCAATAATTGGCTCTGACGCTTACTTTGATATTCTTAATTTTCCAACCTCAATATTGCCTGGTGCCTTTTGCCATTTGGTACTTATGTACTTCGGAACCTAAAAAAAAATAATTGAGATTCAATGTAAGAGAAAATGTCTTACCTGGCACCACATAAGACCAATTGGGATACAAACCTTCACTAACCATACGCCCCGGTTTGAATTTGATAAATCTAATTCCTTGTCGGAATGAGGGGTAGTAGATGTTGAGGATGACATTTTGGACAGTATCTGGAAAAAAATTATGATCAGAGAACACCTAATATGACACAGTTACAGGTTGTCATTGACACACTAATACATTTGGTCGTGGCAGAATTTCAACTGCTTTAAATACCATCTCTCAAGCCCAAAATACAGTAAATGATAACATGAATTAACTATCCAGGGTCGTAATATCTATAACGTAGCACCTGTAAGTAACTAGTGTCATGCTGTATGAGGTAAATCAATAACAATTTCTTACTTTCACGATGAATCCAAGAGGTTATAACCACGAAGCTTGTCAAAATGACAACACTGAATCGTCATCAATGTGTCACGTGATTCTTGTTCATCTATTACGAAACCCAAATGAACGGTCGAAAGTTATATTCCAGGGGACAGATTCGAGCGAACTCCTGCTTAACACAAAACTACTGAGGGGAAGAATACAATTTTCACGAGAGTAAGATATAGGACATGTTAAGTGCCAATCTTGCTGATCATTGCAGCAATAATGATTCAAATCGAAAAGTCAGAGGGCAAAAATGGAAGTAGATCTTACCAACACATAAAAAATATTGAGTGGTTGATGGTTGTGCAGATATGATTATTTTGGTTCAAATTAAAAGGAAAAAGATTTTTTAGTACTAAAATATAATTTTGAATATTTCAGTACGTCAATAGGAAATGTTCCCGACATACATGGACACTATTAACGTGAGGGGCAGAGTTATGGCTAGACTGAGAACCACTTCTGCGACAGTGTTTTGTTGATTAATAGGTCTGACGTCTGCGTCTTTGGTCAGGCCCAGCCAACTCTGGGCTATGAGAAAGTTCCTTAGAGCATGTGACGTCACAGGGCGACTCCGTATATTGCCAACCTCAGAACACAAAACGACGCACGCATTGCCTCTTTAGGCAGCTACGGAGGTCATTGTCACGGTGGCTAAAGTGTGCCAGAGGCGGGATCTTCTGAATTTGCATTTGCTTTTGTTAAAATATATGGCTACATACTAGAATCAAGGGTCTTTGGAGAAACACAACAGGCTTTAGAAGCAATAAACCTCAATTTATTGTGCAAAATAAATCAATCTAAAAGTAACAACATAGTAAATCCTTGGAGTCAACACATACAAAAAGAAATGTAACAACAAATCAACTAAACTAAATCAGTAATAACATATCACAAATTTCCCAATTAATTGTAAACATATGAGATCATTTGATCTTTCTCAAACCCAGACACCCTTCTAAGTTTTCCCAAACCGAAAATCTTCTGGCTGTGGTCTCAGCAAAGAGGAGCACCTGTCCGTGACAATAAAAGAATATGTGAGTTAGAAAGATTGAGAGCCGTTGAGAGCAGTCATAAATAGAGAAGCCATTGAAAACCCACCTTTTTCCTGATATACAATTCCATGTCTTGTGACGGATAAGATTTGGATAAAGGGACTGCTGGCTCCTACTGGAGTCTGCAACATAATAGAAAAGAAGTTTATATAAACAATAGTTTTGTATCACAATTTTTCTTAGATTAAAACAAAATACAACAAAACACAGCAACGAACATATGGTAATAGATTATACCTGGCACGAACCTCTTCCCTGGCTGAAGCAGATGATTCAGACTGAATAATTGAAGGCTTTGACGTGCAGTGGAAGTCTATGTGAAGATATGTATGAATGAGACATAATTTTCAATACATGCTTTGTTTTATTAGATGAAATAATATAATATATAAGACTTACATTTGGTTAACTTTTCCGGCACAATATGCGGGGGCACACATATTGCTTAAAATGGAGTTTGCTGAGAGGGACTGTAAATAATTCTTGGTTGCTGGTGTTTGCTATCCACTGCATCAGCCTGGAAAAAGCATGTCATGGCACA